GCCAACACGTGTCCCTTCATCTCATGCTGAACTTTTGTGGTCCTACATGGGTAAAAAAGGCCCTGGTGAACATTTACACTGAGCACTTTGTTCTCAAAGATTTGTAGAGCAAAGAGAATAATGTATTGAGACTCTCAACCCGTGCCAGTTTGGCTTCATTTGTCCTTCTGAACTTGCCCTGAGAGATAATGTTTCCTTCTAATCTGCTGCCGTCCACCTACAGCAGGGACCAAGTGAATAATTCTCCCAAACAAGCCTTTATTCTTAAAACTCTGCCTGGCCCTAACCCTTTCTCCCCCTTACAGAGTAATTGTTGTGTTCATTACATGCTAATAGCCTGTGCTGTGTTCCAGCCCACACTGGCTGTGGCCACACAAACGGGGCTCAGGCGCTGCTGCTTTCGGATAATGCTGCTCTTTTGGCATTATTTGAAAGAATGTGCCAGGCCTCTGAGCTCCAGGCATGCTCGCTCCCAGCCTGCCTGCCCCAGAGCACAAGGCAGGTGCAGAGGCTTCACAGAAATCAGCACATCCTCCAAGGAGTGAGGCTTTTCTCTCCACACGTGATAATAAATGACTTCTACCCTCCCATAGGAGGAAGGCATGAGGAAGAGGAAACAAGACATCTAAGTCTCTGCTTAACGAGACAAATATTTTCTATTCTTTTCTGTTCAGGTGCTTATGTCACCCTTTCACAATGATATTTTAATAAGCCTTTGTAAGCTCTACAAATTGCCCTTTATATCTGCAGGAGAAGGGAAGCTCCAGGGGATGAGCAATGTATACACTGAACACACAAGAAATGCCTTATCCAGCCTGCTCCTGGAAATCACTCTCTAGAGACATCTGGAACGGGTGCCCCTCTGAAAACACCCAAGGGAGAGAGGTATTAGTAATTTTAGTGGTGGCTTCATGGTGCCTTTCAAACGGGACAAAGCTAAGCCGAGGTCAGACCCCATGGTCAGGGACTGACAGGCAGCTTTGTTCCTTTGTTCCTAACCCCGCTCCTGAGCTTAAGAAACGGCCAAGGGTCACTCTCTGATACCTCCCAGAAGGCTGCAGAGACAAAAGCCTTCAGCCTGTACTGGTTTAAACCTTGGAGTTGGCTGACAAGCTGTTCCTGTGCGAAGGGGAGGCTGCAGCCTCTGTTACTCGGTGCCAAGGGCTGGGGGTGTTTGGAGTGACACCTGTCTGGTGTGTGGGTATCTGCTATATTTTATATGTGTTCCCTGCCTCTCTATAGCCACATTCTGCCCCTCTGTAGCCAGGGAGGCAGGGAAGATATTATAGCATGGGCCAGAGGAACTAAAACGAGGCTCTCTCCCTTGCTGAGATGGTATTCCAGCTTTATTCCAGGGATTGCATGGGGAAAGAGAGAGAAAATTGGTAACATGCTCCTTTTTGAAGTCAGGGGAAGGGGAAGGGTTACATTCTTACAACCAATAAGGAAAACTGGGGAGGAAGAGATAAGGGGGGAAGCTAACATTCTATATTTCAGGGGTACATCTTGGGTTATAGCACTTTTCTAAATGCATTACAACAGGTGTCACACGGCACATGGCACGCTCAGGTGTGGGACAGGGAGCACACCCGCAGGTGCAGGTGAGCTCATGCGTGTGCATGTGAGCCTTTAGGAGCACGCATGCAGGTATGTGTGCTAAATGCAATCTGTGTGGGCTGCTCCCAAACTAGTCCATGCATGGCAGGGGGGGTTTCTCTCCAGGAAATATAAGAAAAAAACCCTTTCACGAGCAGGTTCACACACGAGCGTGTATATGCAAAACCAGGCAAGTATCTGCTGTACACGCTCACCCCCAGTGTGGGGACAAACCCCATACAGCTCAAAGCAGTAGAAAAACCAAAAAGGCACCAAGAGAGGCTTGGCTTCTCCAGCCATGCACTGCAGCCCCTGCACAGCCCTCCCTGCCCCAAACCCTTCTCCCCAACCTCATGGCTTAGCCCCTGCCCTCTTCCCAAAGCTCAGCACAGCCAGAGCACAGATTCCCCCACGGGATAGTGTGTTCTGAGAGAGCTCAGAAAACCTAAGCAGGAACGGCAGTATCCTTTGTGTATCATGAGCCTGGGCTCCTGCCAAATTCCTCTGCACCCACTGCCTCCATTAAATGCGTCAATCATTTCTTGGCAATCCAAGCCCCAGAGAAGAGTTGAGAGGCAACTTCAGGCAGTTCAGTCACTTTCATTAAAAGGTAAAAATACATGCTGAGCAGGAGCTGGGAGCAGGACTGTGCTCTGTCTGCACAGAGAGCAGGGCTGCCAGACCCTCCCTGCTGGAGAAGAGTAAGAGGCAGCAAACAACAGAGCTTCCCATGGTCACAGGCTCTGCCAGCCTGTGAAATCCCCACAATGGCCACTCTTCAAGGACAGTAGCAGATCCTTGCATGTGGATCGCGGTCTTGGTCTGCCTGGGAAAGGAGAGAGAGAGAGTGTCAAGGTGCAGGGGATGTGGGAGGGAACACCCCTGCATGGCTCCCCTGGTGCAGCTGGGGCTGGGGCGATGACCTGGCACCACACCCCTGGGACAGCACAGCCACCAGCTCCTGCCAGCCAGCACAGGGCTGGAGTGCAACTGGGACCCAGCTCTGGGGTGAACCCTGGGGAGAAACTGGGGGCTCCATTCCCCAGCCCCAGGCAGCTGCAGTGGCCAGGATGCTGGGTGGGAAGGTGCCCGTGCTGCAGGCTGGCACCAGGGAGCAGCAGGGCTCTTGGGAATAGAACAGGAAAGTCCAGGTGACTCAAACATTCCTGGCACGGAGCACGGACCAGCTGAGCACAGCGGGAGAGAGGAGGACAAACAGGCAGGGAAGAGTCTAGGCAGAGAACTGTGGAGCTCAAGAGTGGGGATGAGGGGCCTGGGGACACCATCAGAAGTGGTCACCAGGAGGGGCCAGGCCACCGGGTGGTGGTGGTGGGTCTGGGGACAGTGAGAAGAGGAGCCACACTGTGCATGGGCACCAGTGTCCCCAGAGGCTCCCCTGCCAGGAGCTGCTCTGCTCAGGCCACTCTGCCTGCTTGGCCACATGCACAGGGCTCCTGAGAGTCGCTGCATGCCTGTGCCACTCCCATTCAGGCAGCTCTGTCTCCCTGCCTGCTGCTCTGTTCCTTCTCTTCGCCTCTGCCTCTTCATGCAGTTGCTTTGATCTGCACTCCAGAGGCTCAGTGTTAAAAATTAATGTTTCATGGATGTTGCTGCCCATGGCTTGAAAAATGGCTTTCTTTTTCCCTCAGGTGGTGGCTCACACCAGCTCCTGAAGGACTGTTCTGCTCCAAGTTAAAAAGACAGGCCAAAACCTCTTGTGTTCCTCATGCTTTGGTTTAGGGCAGGATGGGACCTGCTCCTGCCCTGCAGAGCTGTGCTGGAGGGGGAAGCTGGGACCGCATCCTGGTGCCCAGGCCATCCCAGCAGGCTCTGCCAGTCCCCAGAGCAGCCCTGCCCTCCTGTCTGTGCCCCACCAGCCCTGCCTGCTCCACCAGGGCTCACCTCTGCTGCCTCCTCTGCTCTGGGGAAAAGGGGCCGTGGGCTGGGGGCTCATTCCCCTGAGATGAGCAGAAGGACCAGAGCCAGGTGCAGTGTACTGTGCCCTCCATGCTCTCTCAAAGTGGCTTTCTCCCTTTCTAGAAGTTTCTCTACACCCAGGTTCCAGCACTGGAGGGGAGCACTGGTTCTCCGAGCTGCTGGCAGAGAGCAGCAGCGATTCCCCCAGCACCGCCAGCACCCTTATCTCCCCTCCAAGCCTTGTCCAGGCTTTGCTTGTGGTGCCAGGGGCTGGCAGGGCTGCTGTCCTGTCTCCCTGGCCTCTCCCAGTTGGGGAGGCTGCTCGGTGCTGCCTTGGCCAGGCGCTGAGCCGCGGGCAGGGTGGCAGCCTGGGAACGGTCCCTCTTGTGTCCTGCTGGCTGCTTGGGAGGGAAGGGATGCAGCGCCCGGGGCAGCAGGGTGGGTGCAGCAGGAAGTCAGGCCTGCCAAGCTGGGTGTGTAGCATGTGGGGATGCTTGTCTGGGCTCCCGAAGCATTTTCCAAACACTTTAATTATAGTGATTTATATGGCAAAAGTGTGGGGGCGAGAGCTTGGGAAAGGCATTAGCAGGTTTGTTCTGAGGGCTCTAATCAGAGGTAGGAGATGGGGAGAGGGAGGGGACAGCACTGGGGCTGTACCTTGAACCGCGGCGTCAGGACGGGTTTGAAGGATGCAAAACTTCCCAGCTGTGCCAGGGATGTGCTGAGGGCATCCCTGAGGCCTTAATGCTCCTCTGGGAACAGCTCTGGCATCAGGAGTACCACCAAATGTCCTGTGCCTGTCCCTGGTGCTGCTCCTGAGCCAGCCCAGCCCCTGCCCCAGCACTCACCAGGCTCAGCTCTGACCAGCCCCAGCACCAGCTGTGCACCACCTGTGGAGGCAGAGCAGGTCCATGAGGCCACAGGTGAACATGGCACACAAATGGCTCTGCTGCAGTCGCCAGAAAATGTCCAACAATTTAACAGCAACTCGGTGTTCTCGTTGGTGTTATCTTGAAGATTTGGGGCATCAAGAGAAGCACACTCATGGGCACACACACAGCTCCCTGCAGCCCCAGCCGATGAAGAGACCCCTGGCACTGCACAGGGACAGCAGCTCCTCAAGCCCAGGAGATCAGCAGCCAGGGGAATGCTACAGGGCAGCTGTGCTTGCTCCGAAATCTCAGCCCCCTCCAAGCCTGCCTCGCTCCGAGGGCGCTCCTACAGAGTCCTAACTGCACCAGGCAAAGGGAGAGGAACACTGGGCTGCTGTCAGACTGGTGGCACCACGGGCACAGCACGGGGCTGCTGAGCTGAGCCCTGGCACTGCAGCTCTGACCCCTCTGAGCCACCACGGATGCAGCCCCGGCAGCGTGGCCGCAGCATGTGTCACCACCGCTGCAATCCTACTTTTTGGCCTGTTTTCTGATAAATAACCTTTTCCTGTCCTTTTTGACAGTGATGTTTATTGATGTCTGACATCCCTCAGAGCCAGGTCTGGCCTCAGAGAGCCCTGCACACCCCACGGCCGTGGAGCAGGGCAGAGCGGCACAGGCAGCTCTGCTTCTCTCAGATGCCCACAGCCTCCCTAGAGCAGTCGCTCCCAGATGTGTCAGGCTGGGCGCTAGCTGAGTCTCCTGGTGGGAACAGAGTGAAAACAGCGATTTAAATAACCCTACCTCGGCCTCCCAGGGGCTGCTCCTGCCAGGGACAGCGGTGCTGGGTGGGCTCTCCCAGGAGAGGCTCAGCAGAGGGTTCAGCAGCGCTTCACACCCCAGCTCCTGCCCAGAGCACACAAACCTCTCTGCACTACCTGGGGATAATTTGCTGAGGGGGGAGCCGTGATCCTGAGCTCACGTTATCACTTCATTGAATCCAATTGATTGAGGAGCTAAAAGCAGCCTTGGCTTGATGGTGAGCAGGGCAGCGTGCTGAACCCTTAAAAGCATTGGCATCACGGGCAGACACAGACACTCGCTCTCCTAAAGCCTCTCACACCTTCTGGTGATTGGGAACCAGCAGCAGGGCAGTTCCAGGGGATATTATTTCATACTTCAAGCCCACACAACCAACCTCTTATTCTTGCCCTTCTGCCCTCAGTGGGCAGGCTCTGCTCCCACAGAGATTTCAGGGGAAGGAAGTGTGCATCTGCAGGGTGATGTGGGGGCAGCCTGGCTCTTAAGTGGTCTAACCACGAGCCCACACTGCTGGGAACGGAGCCCAGACCTGCTGCCCAAACACAAGCTTCTGTGTAGCAGCAGCTGCATCCAGGGCTGCTCGTGAACCTGCATCCCCTGAGCAGTGCTGGAGACGGGAAGATGCAGGAGCATCCCTGCCACAGCTGTGCCCTACGAGGGAAGTTTGACAGGCACTGAGGTCCCTCCAGGTGCAGGAAAGACAGGGAGGGAAGCAATGGGCAGCTTTGCCCATGCCTGAGCTGAGAGCAGGCAGGGCAGCCAGCTGAAATCCCTGGATGAAGCTGGCACACAACACTGTCTGAGGCTGCTGGGGCATCTCCACTCCAAATAACAGCACGAGCTCCACAAACTGCTTTTCTGCTGTGATCCTGAGTGTGGGATAGCACAGGGGACAGGGATCTCTCCTGGGACTCTGTTTACAATGCCCCTGCCCAGATGTGCTCAGCCTTGGCTCACCTTGCACTGGTCTTTCTGATTTGATTGGATTTTCTAGGAATTCAAGACTGGCATCCCTGCAAAAGGCAGTGCATACTTTATTAACTATGCTGCTTTCCTGACCACTAATTAAAATCAAATTATATCTGATGCACACAACATACTTTGCAGTGAAAGAAATCTCCTTTCCCAATCTGCTCTCTGAAGCAATTTATTTAGCCCACTGAGCTGAAAAGAGTACAGCCCTGCAAAGACCCCAGGGATGCTGAGGACCCAGCTGGCTGGAACTTCTCCTGGGCTCACCTTTTTGGTTTCATTGCAGGCTAGAGCCAGGGTCCCCCAGGGCTGAGGGCAAGAGCAAGGCTTGTGGGAAGGTGAGCAGCAGCAGCCACGGGCTCCTTTTTGGGTGCATCTGTCTCCTCTGCCACGGGCAGCACAGCTGGCACCAGCACTTTTGGCTACCTGGGGAACAGGAGAGGACGAGTTCCCTCACAGGAGGGTCCCAGCAGGGCCAGCCCCCCAGCAGCCCCACAGGATGCACCCACAAATGCCTCAGAGCCTCTGGCTCAGGCAGGGCTCGCACAGGTCCCTCTGCCCAGCAGCACTGGCAGATCCTTCTGCCCACACACACTAAAATGCAGGTGCTGGGTCTCCAGAAAAGAGCACGAGGCTCAGCATGGAGCAAGTCACACAGTAAAGAGGCTCAGGAGAGAGGGGCCAGCCCCTGCCCTGCGTCTCCTCAGTGAAGCCACCACTCTCAGCTTTTTTTCCTTAGAGGAAGGGTAAAGTTTCTGCAAAAAGACAAGACTTCCCCTGTGGTCCTTGTGCTGGTGCTGGCAGGAGCCATGTTTGGAGTAATACATCATCAGTGGAAGGTACCTAATGATGTATTGCCCTAATACATCACCATAGCAACAGCACTCTAATGATGTATTATTCTAATGTGCTACCCAAGTGCCCGCTCCTGCGGATGATGTATGGCCAGGGTGGCTGTGCTCTGCCAAGCCCAGATGCAGCAAAGCTCTCCTGACTGCCAAACACCTCCAGGAGCATTGCCTGCTGCGTGGGATGCACCACTGGCTGTTTGCTCCCACCTTTGAGGGCAGAGGTGCTGCCTTGCCACCCAAAGGTGGGGGAGATCCCGAACTCGGCGACCACCAGAGTTCTCTGCCACAACTGTCGTCCCTTTCCTCCCCTCCCCACAGCCAAGCTACAGTGTCACTTGTGGAGCTCTGAAAGACAATTTTAAAAGCATTCCTTCCCTGGCATTTGGAAAATCCAGAAGGGGAAGTGACAGGCTGGTTTGTGCATTTCTCCAGCCCCTTCCAAGGTATTAAGGCCACACAGTGCTCTGGGTTTGATCATTAACAATGAAAATACCAGCTGGAATTCTCCTGCTGCCTGTGACAGGGACAGCATTGTTTCCAATTCACACTATCTTTTTGACCATTCAAATGCCATCAATTCAGTCACCCCAATGCGTAGGACAGTTATCTGAAATGTTTTCCCAAACAGCTTAGTGACTATAGAGCAACAATTCATGGCATTGCTTGGGGACATCTGTGCAAAGCAACGCTCAGTAAAGAGCTCGTGGCCAGCTGAATGCTCCCTGTGTGGACTTCAGATTCCAGAGAGGAGCAGGGAAGCTGGCAGACAGAGAGACTGAATGAATGGCAGGAGAAATCATTTCATCTATGCAAATCCATGCCAAGCTCTCAGTGCAGCTGCTGTCAGTGGGGAGCTCTGCCCCTCTGCACTGACATGGAAGATTTTATTGAGCACTGAGACACCCTCTCTGCCAGACCAGCAGCTGCTCACTGTGCAGGGGCTGCAGCCTCTGGTGCCTTCCACAAGCATCCAGGTGAACCCTGCACAGCAGAAGCAGGGCCCAGTGCAGGTTCTGTGGGATTTCTCTCTGCTCTGAGATTCCCAAGCCTTAGAAGCCCCTGGAAAATGGAAGTTTGTGGCACCCATGGCTTATTCCGTCACAGAGGATCAGCAGCTCAGCCTTTATCAACACAGGCTGCCCAGGGCAGCAGTGGAGTCACCACCCCTGCAGGCTGTGGGGACAATGCAGCAGGAGTTCTGCTGGCTCACTCTTCTCCCACCCTGTCACTGGGGCCAGCAGCCACACCTGGGAATCCCCAGATCATTCAGGTCACTGTGAAGTGCCCAGAGCTGAGGGGACAAGGTGCTTCAGAGACCCAAACTGGTGGTACCCCAGAGGGGGATCCCCTGGCACACACCACAACCCCAGTCTGGCCAGAGCAGAGCTTCAGATGTTAAGCCTGCTGTCTCCCCAGGGCTGTGTCACACTTCCCTCAGCTGCACCTCTCAGTGTGGGTGTAGAGGGATGCAGGAGGCCTCCCCTCCCTGGGCTGCCTTTGCAAGGCTCCCGTGCTGCACCTGGGCAGATTCCAATCATCTCTCAACCTTCCAGCACTGACAAATTACAGGATCTTCAGCAGGGAAAAAAAAAAGTGAAACAGAGTGACCAAAAAAGGAATGATTGTATTATCAATAATGTTTCCAGTGGCTGATGGATGAGTACACCCAAATGATTTTTAAGATTTCAGTAGAAATCTTTTTAAAGATGGCAGCACAAAGGCAAAATGTTTATTAGCCCAGGGTCTCCTGAGAAAATCCTCCAGGGATGTGCACAGCCACGCCAGGTGTGGGCCAAATGTGTGCTCATCATCAGCATGCAGCCCATGTAACAGCAGATGAGACAGGATCTTTCCCTCATTCCTGCAGAGACAGGAATTATCCTGAGAGCATTCCAAGAGGGATGAACAGACAGACACAGTGCTCAGTGGGACCCCTGCTGCCCTTTTCCTTCCCAGGGCTCAGTGCAAATGCTTCCTAAACACTCTGGGAACAAACAGCTTTTTGAAAGCTACCCTAAAAGCCCTCTGTTTTCACTAACATCTAGAGTAGGGAACATCAAGAAAAAGATCACCTCCTAATTCTTTGGGGAACTGAATTTGCAGAACAGGCATCCTGTCTTAAACACTCCCCTCAAAAGGCAGGCACAGCCCTTGCCCTGGGCAGGGTAGGATATTCAGCTGATGGTTTTTTGATGCCACATATCCAGCACAGCCTTGGAAATGCTCTTGTGCTGGAAACATATTAGACAACATTGTCATGTACTGAAAATTGGCAAATTTCCAGGCCAGGGTTTCAAGGGATAATTTGTAGATTGAATGTTAATGAATATTATTGTTGTTATCTTGCAAGGCTATGCTGGCTTCACTCTGTTGCCCATTGCACATCTTGATTTTTCCTTTTTTTACCCCTATAACAAGCAGCATAGGCAATTCCAGCACAGCTGATAAGGAAGCCACTTGAAGACACATGGGAAAAGGTGATTCTTTCTGTTTTTATGTCACTGCCTCCCCAAACTGCTGCTTCCAACACTTGCTGACACAGGATTGTTGTTTTGAGTCCTCTCTGTCCTTCCTGCAAACTCACCCAGCCTCAGTAGTGCTGCCCCAGCCATGGCACGTGGAGGTTAGGAGCAGGCATCAAGGGGATCCTCAGCAGCATAAATCTTCTTTTATCTCCATGGGGAAAGAGGCATGGAGGGGAAATACTGCCATTTCTTCAGCCCTGCACTGCCCTCAGAGCTTTGCTGCCAGGAGCCTTTTTTGTGCAGAACACCAGAGCAGCATCTCACCTGTGGTCACTCCTGCAGCAGGTGCTCCCCTGGCAGTGCCCCCCTGCCCTCCCCACGGCCAGCCTGGCCCCAGGGACCACTCACAACGTGCTGCAGCCCACCATGATTTATGTGGCACTCGTCCAATTGATGTGCTTTGTGCCTGGGGACAGTTAAATGGTAGCTCTGTCATTAGTTTAAGCAGAGGTTAAAGGTGATCAATAACAAGGGTTTCACGCCCAATTGATCACCCCTTGCTATTTATTTCTGCCTTTTGCTTTCCATTCCACGGTGCTTTTAGAAATAGTAATTAAAGACATAACAAGTGTTCCGCTAGGCAGAATATCAAACGCTCCAGATATTGATTCAATTCTCTACCTTTTAATGACGTTGACCTGTGTCTGTCCCCAACACCAGCAAGGCTGGGCCAGCCTGCAAGGCCAGGGCTGGGGAGCTGAGAGCCCTCCTGGGGGCAGAGCAGAAGGTGGAGAACAGCAAGTGCTCTGGGACAGGCAGCTTTTAGCTTTTAGTCACCCTCTGAGCCTCCGTGCCCATCCTGCCAGCACAGACCTGGGCTCAGCAAGGGGAGCAGGACCTGAGGTCAGGTTTGGCATTTTTCATCCCTTTGCTCCCAAATGCTCTGACACCCAAGCCCACATCAGGGGAAAAAGCATCAAGAGAACTGTCCTGAGCACTGAGCATTCCCAAGCTCCTGGCACCTCCAGCTCTGCAGAGGACACAGAGGCAGACAGGAGGTGGACTTAATCCCAAAGAAGAGAAATCCAGAGCCGCACCCTGACCCCCACCTGGCAGGAATGAGGACAGGGGACAATGTCCAACACCCCAGCATGCCATTGCTCCTCCAGAGAGCTCTGCCAGGTCCATGCCACAGGCCATGTGCGTAAAAATAACCCCGCGCCGCTGTGAGTCAGCCGGGAGCGATGACACGGCCGACGGGGAGCGTTCCAACAGTGGGTGATGCCCTTCCACAGCACTTATCCTCATCACAAAACAGCCTGTCCTGCTCTCCACAGCCCTGGGCAGCAGGGTCAGGAGCACTTTTACCAGATCAGGAATGTACCCACACGGCTGGAAGCAGGGCAGCGATGTTCGGTCCCTGCAGCACAGCTCTGCCCAGCACACCCGAATGCTCTTCCCAGCACAGGGACTGGGAGATCCCTCTGCATCTCACACTGCTGCAGCTCCTCTTGCTGAGGAGGCTCAGCAATCCATGTAAATTAACCCTTGCAACTTAATGTCATCTTCTATGGCATCACTTCATGAGGAGTAAGAATGCTGGGGGAAAGAAATCCTAAAGGTTTCTCATAGTTCTTAAGAAAGTGAACTGGGAGTAAAATCCAGGAGCTCTGATAGAATTTTAGAGGAAATCCAGTATTGTAGTAGATCTCATAATCACCCTTGTGTACTAGAACTCCCTCACTGCCCATCCTGTTGGTTTGTAATCAGGTTAGTCTTAAACATGACTGAAAAAACATCTCCAATTTAAAACTAGTTATTTATTTAAAACATCTCCGAACATAAAGATATCCAATGCAATAGCCTGACTCTTTATCCTACAAATCACTGCAGAAGATGCAAATGTGTAAATTCATTTCCTAGAGTTTTGTCTGGCTACAAATTTATGATCCAGCATAATCTCAGTTGCATAGCCTTTAGTATGACTGAGAGGTACTGATACACAGTGAGCTCTAAGTAATAAAAATCACAGGACAGATTTTCTCAAAAAAACCCTTCAAAACCAAACAAAAAAAACCCAAAACCAACCAAACCCAAAAAAAGTAC